GTCCGTCTTTACCCCGTGCTGTACCCAGTAACATGCGGTGTGTATATGTGTGAGTGTTGCAGTCCCCGGTAACTTGTGCAGTCCATCTTTACCCCTTGCTGTACCCTGTAACATTCGGTGTGTGTATGTGTGAGCGCTGCAGTCCCCGGTAACTTGTGTAGTCCATCTTTACCCCTTGSWGCACCCAGTAACATTCGGTGTGGGTATGTGTGAATGCTGCAGTTCCCGGCAAATTGTGCAGTCCACCTTTACCCTYTGGCTGTACCCGTTGACATTCGGTGTATGTGCGTATGTGTGTGTGTGTGTGGGTTGCAGTTCGGTCCYTTCCCCATTTTTGYTRTGACCGGTGACTTCTSAAAGTGATATGGGGTAGCCAGGCACCCGAAGTWGAAAATGGAGGCACGGGGCTAGGAGTTAGGATACGACCAACGGGCCTTCTTTCACGTCCATCCACCATAGCCGGACCACCCCAACYCTTCTCCCTCCTCCATCACTCACACCTGTCCACCATAGCCGATCACCCCCAACCCTCCTTCCTCCTCCGTCACCCACACCCGTCCACCATAACCAACCACCCCCAACCCTTCTTCTTCCTCCATCACCCACACCCGTCCACCGTAGCCAACCACCCCCAACCCTTCGTCTTCCTCCATCACCCACACCCGTCCACCATAGCTTACCACCTCCAACCCTTCTTCTTCCTTCATCACCCATACCCGTCCACCATAGCCAACCAAGGCGGCCTTCTCCTCTCACGGTTGATCCATCTGTCGCTTCCCTTTTCTCATGGCTGGCCCGACAGTCTTTCTTCTCAACTCATCTTGTTTCAATGACCGTCCCGACGGTCTCTTTCCCAACTTCCTTTTCTCAATCTCTTTATTTCGATGGCCGAGCCGACGACCTCTTTCTCAAGTCCTCCGCTTCAATGACCGTCCCGACGGTCTCTTTCCCAACTTCCTTTTCCAATGGTCGACCCGACGACCTTCTTCTCAATATGTCTATTGCAATGACCAACCCGACGACCCTTTCTCAATATGTCCATTTCAATGGCCGACCCTACGGCCTTTTCTCAATATGTCCACTTCAATGACCGACCCGACGCCCTTTTCTCAATATGTCTATTTCAATGGATAACCCGGCGGCCCTTTTTCAATATGCCCATTTCAATGGCTGACCCGGCGCCCTTTTCTCAATATGTTTATTTCAATGGCCGACCCGATGGCCCTTTTTCAATATGTCCATTTCAATGGCCGACCCGACAACCCTTTTCTTACTCATTCATAAGGCATCTAATCCACAGTCAGTCATGCAAAGGGACCCCAGTGCCTATTTCCAAAGAGACAACCCTGGTTAGGGGTCGTCTCCAAACAACCTGGTTAGGGTCGTTCTTCTTTTCCAATCTCGTATTTGAATAGCTTGGTCAGGGTCATTCCTTTTCCAAATCTCATCCTTAAATAGCCTGGTTAGGGCCATTCATTTTCCAAATCTGATCTTTGAACAGCCTGGTTAGGGCCATTCCTTTCCCAATTCCGGTACTGACGCTCGAGGGGATGGGCTTTGGGAGGCTCGGATTCCGAATATCCCTTCGGGGGTTAGGTGGTGGCCATCAGTTTTCAGCGTGCTATCTCTTCCAATTTTCCTTATCAAAGCCTTTTACTTGTCTTTTTCGTTCGCATGCATCCGACTTAGCGTCTAGCGTGCAGGCGGAAACATCCAACCTTCGGCAACGCTAGCCCGCCCGGCCGTTCAACCATAGACGTAGTGTCTCACATACTTTGCTTGGTTCACTTTCGTAACTTGCAACATGGCGTTGACTCGGTTGGCGTTTAACCCCTTTCTCGCGGCTATCCCCGCAGGGTGGCTCCATGCCCAACCCATAAGTCTGGATCTCATCCCTCTTTTCCTTCGCCAACTGTAGATCCTTTTCAGTGAAAAAGTCCAGCGGTGTAGGTGTTCTCCCGACCGCCATCAACTTTTGTGCTTTGATCATCCACTCGTGTTTAACCACACTTGCCCATTGCTCAAACCAGTGGCTGGGCGTTGGCCCAAATTCTTCTTCCCAATCGGTGGCTTCTTTATCCGGGCTTTTTGCCGGAGACTGTCTTTCCTCCCTTGGCCTTGATATCTCATCCGTCTCGTCCTCACTGCTTAGCACGATGACTTCTTGAACCCCATCATCCGGATCACTGTCCTCTCCTCCCTGCCTTCCTTCGTCATGGTTGGTTTGCTTAGTTTCTTCCCCCTTCCCTTCCATTCTTTGCTCATCCTCCTCTTCTGACCAGGCCGGTAGTACCTCGCCTTCCTTAGTAGGCGAAGGTTTACAGGCTGGCAACTTCCTCTTTCTTCTCCCTAGTGATGCTCTTGGCTGTGGCCCAATAACCAGTACCGGTCTTTGTCTATCTCGCGGTCTGTCTGGCTGCCTCCACGGATCCTCACAAGCGATGTTTGCCTGGTTAATGTCATTCTTGTTATTGAACTCCATTCTGCTTGAGTTATCTTCTGTGCCTGTAATCAATATCAACAGAGAAAAGGAAAGGCCCCAATGCACCCCCATTGTGGAGCCCTCCCCAAGTCCAGTCCTGTCTCATTATTATGGCCACCCGGTTCCCCAGACACATGGCCCCATCCCAAGTCTTGGTCACTTGCGCCCCCAAGCCTCGTTTATCCCATTGGGTAGTCACGACATCTTGCCCTCAGAGATCTCCTCGTCCCCACCCTAACGATAGAATGCCCAGCCTTTGGCATCCGTCCCCAGTGTCCCCACAAAAACTATGGTACAATGTCCCACCTAGATCCCATGTCCTTCCCATGCACACACACACGAAAGAAAAGAAGACAACAAAGGCAAAGAAAAAAAACACACGTGATAAGTAGAATCTCTGTTGCCGTACTCGCCGGCCTATTCTTCTGCTTCCTTGTCCAGAGCTTCTTGTAGCCATTGCTCCACCGGATCCCTGCTGAGGAATCTGACCACTCGCTGCGCAGGGAACGACCCTTTAATGCTGGTCCCATCCAAGTCCTCAACCTCAAAGGTGTTCATTCCCAACCTCTTAGTGATACGATAGGGTCCCTTGAATCTTCGCCCTAGCTGTCCTGACCATGTGCTTTCTAGTGCCAAATTCCTGACTAGAACCATTTCCCCCACTTCCAATGGCTCCTTCTTGATATTCTTCAGTTGGTCCCACTCGGTCTTGTCCTTCATCCGACTATCGAAGACCCTGTTCACAATTTCTTCCAAGGCTTCCTCATTCTTTGCCGCCTGCTTGCATCTAGCCTCGATCAATTGTTCCGTGGTCAGGTGAGGGTCCTCCTCCAGTTTGTTCCACGTGGGCACTAGGGTTTCTATCGGGAAGTCGATTTCCCTTCCTTACCATAATTCCGCCGGGACACATCCTGTGGTCCTCTTAGGAGTCACGCTCTCGGCGAACATAGCTTGCCTGAGGTACTTGGGCCAATTCCCGAGGTCGTCTGCTGCTAGCTTCGCAATCGTATTCTTGAGCGTTTGGTGCCCTCTTTCTACCGGTGCGTTAGTGTGGCATACTCTGCAGCCACACGGGCCCTGCAGGGCCCGTCCCGGACCCCCAGCCTGTTTCCCTACAGGGAAACTTCCAGGTTCTTGCCTGGAAGCTTCCTTCTGACAGGGCCTTCAGGCCCCAGCCTGTTTCCCTACAGGGAAACTTCCAGGCTCTTGCCTGGAAGCTTCCTTCTGATAGGGCCTACAGGCCCCAGCCTGTTTCCCTACAGGGAAACTTCAGGGAACTTCCAGGCTCTTGCCTGGAAGCTTCCGCAGGGTCTAGGCCAGGGGAGCATTGGCACGGCCAGCCTCTTGCACGGGCCAGCACTATAAAGGATTGGCCCGCCCTGCAGGAAAAGGGGCAGTAGGCAGAGGTAGTCTTCAGGATTCGGCCGCARCACTCAGGAGGAGCGCTGCAGTAGTCTTCAGCGCTAGGCAGTAGTGGTAGCGCTAGCTGTAGTCTTCGGCGCTGGGCGCCATAGCTGTAGNGTGGTACCTGCATCAAGGCGCCAACTTCACAGGTTAGTACTGGACACAGAGAGAGAGAGAGTTCTTCTTCTTCCTCTTCTAAGTCCACCTTCTCTTCTCACCCTCTCGCCACCTGACTTCTCAGACCACGACAGAGAGAGACATAGTTGTGACTTGAGACTTGACGACATTGGATCCAGACTTGACATTTGGGATTCAGATAGTTCGACGAGGGACTATTTGGGCTTGTGCCGAAGACTTGGTGTTGACGACATTCCCATCTTCCCCCTCCTCTTCGTCTATCCCCTTCCTCCTCGTCTGTGCATGTTCTGGGCTGGCGCTGTCTTCCTGTGTGAAGCGCCAGACCCATTCACACTATGAAACGATGATGATGATGTATGTTCAGGGCTGCATTACAACATTGATTGTTCGGATCACTGGTATCTAAGTCTGCCACTGTGCTATCTTATACTTTGTATTGAAAGGTCGGTTCTTGTTCTGGTTTGCACCTATACGGTATGCAACAGTTAGCCTCCGGGTGGTATGGTTCAATCAACTTGAGGGGCACCCCTAACCTCTTGCAGGTGTTCAGGACATCTTGATTTACGAACTCGGTCCCATTGTCGGCTATAAACCTCCTGATAAACGGGTGCCTCAGGTAGAAATCTTCAACCCAATCGGTCACTGCCAGCCCTAGTTTCTTCTTTAAGGCCATGACCTCCACAAACCCGCTAAGGTTGTCTCTAGCATCGAGTATATACCTGTACCCTTTGGTGGACACAGGCATAACAGCTAGGTCGAGGTGCACCAAATGTCCCGGCCCCAGCACTCGCGTGGGCTGGAGTGGTTCAAACACCCGCGCCGTACTCCGCTCCTGGCAGATTCGGCAGGTCTGACAGTATGGGGCAACCATGGAACCCATTCCCGGCCAGTAGTAGAGAGGCGTTATTTTGGCCAAGGTCCCTTTTGAGGACCGGTGTCCGCCGGCCAACCCATCGTGCATTGCTTGTATTATGTCTACCTGTCTCGTCTTCCCGCATACTACTCTCCTGGGCGTCAAGCCCTCCTCTTTCCTGAACAAGTGTCCTCTTCTTAGCACATACCTGTCTGCCTCTTCCCTAGCTTTAGGGCTGACTTCGTGGCCATCCTTGTTTCCTACCAGCAGCAGCCCAATCTCCCTAAAAATACCATCGTACAACTTGATGAAAAAGAACTCCTCCTCCCGTCGGGAGCTCGGCTGAGAGTCGCACATTTGGCTAACCATGTATTGTTGCTTTTCCTGTTCCCAAGATTCCACCATGCTCATCACCCTTCTCCACCCGCCTTCTATGGCTAGTGCCATCCGTTCTTCCCGAGGCCCCACAATACTACCCCAAGCGTCCTTCTCTTCCTCTCGTCCAACCCTGGTGACCACCCCTTCTCGGAGTTCTGCTACCACCGTAGACGGTTTTTTCTCTAACGCTTTGATCAACAATTCTCCGGTCGTGCAAGCGGTCACTGCCATCTCATTATCTACCACCAGAGTTCCTCCCTCATGATCGAGGAACGCATCGATCGACTCTGCTTCTTCTAGCCCTTCCGGCGTACAAATCTATCAACGAGTAAATGCTACGTCCGGCATGGGATTCGGCCAGGAGGTCTGCCTGGGGCAGCGACCCCGCGTCCCGGATGGTGACAACGTTTAACTTCTGCAAATCCTGGATCCATCTCAGGGACTTGTTGGGCTTTCGGAATACAAACCACTTGTTGGCGTATGGTGATGCGGCGGGTTCCGCCACAAAGGAGTCCATTTTTKCCCTGAGAAGGTCTGTAACCTCTCCGGCAATCCCAAAGTCATAGGCGGGCCCCATGTCACTCCAACACTCGTGCTCAACCGTGTGGATTTTGACTGGTGGAATCAGCTTTGCATCTAGCCGCCCCTTCTGGTGGTCATTAAAGGCGAAAGCTAAGTGGAACTCCTGGCATGCCTCCTTGATTAACCTCGTCTCTTGTTCCTTCAGGAACCCCTCCACACCTATCTTCATGGTTTGTGTTACTTCGTCCGGTATCCTATGCCCCTCGGCTGCCCTCCTTTCCTTGATTACCCAAAGAACTTCTTCCTCTTTCTCCATGGCCTCCTCCTTAGTCATTTCCAGTAAGATCGAGACTGGCTTCGCCTTTTTCCCAACTGGTTTATATTTGTGAACGCTTCCTTCCGGGATCTTTCTTCTAAAAAAAGAACCGTCGGGGCTGCTTGTGCTACTTCCGCAATCCGGGGCTGAATGTTAACTAACTCACCGTTCAGGCAGTAGCCCTTTCGAACTTCCTCCTCAAACCTGGCGAGAGAGGCAGTGTCAACTCCCACCTTGTGATACCTGATTGCCTTGATTAGATGGAGTAGATCCGGAATCTCTAGTGTTATCTTGGTGCCTCTCCCTCGGACCTCTTCGCGTTTTGGCAGACTCTATCCCAGTTCCACTTCTGTTTTCTTTCCCACTACCATAACTCCTAAGGCGTCTTCATCCGGCCTCCGCTTTTTCTGTGGGAGGAGTATCTTGACCCACTCCTTTTTGAACGCCTCTTCTATCATTATTTCCACCCTTTCTCTCATTCCTTCCGTTCGCGCGAAAGCCCCCATTCTAGCACTCTCCTCGAAGGAAGGCGACCAGGTTGCCAATTTCCCTTTGGGCGTGTCTCCCCCAGTTCCGATGAGGCGGAGCAACTCGCTGTGCCCCGTTACTGGGTCCTCTATGTCCACCATATATGCCCCATCATGGAGATGCATGCCTATCATTTCCACATTTGCACACCACGGTCTTCCGAGGATTATGTCATGGTCCATTTCGTCCATGACGGTCATCCGTTGGAACGACCATATAGACTCCTTGACCCCGGCTTTGACCGCGCATTTGGTGACATACCCGGAGAAGGGGATTTCCCCGCCAGCTCCCCGAACACTCCCGGTAGTTTCCCTGTTTATCGGGCACCCAACGATCGTCGCAAGTCCTTTCGTATGAGCGTGATCTCAGCCCCGCCGTCCACTAGCACGTCCGTATGGTGGCAACCGATATGAACCTGTAGTTTTCCTACTGGTCATGCATGAAAGCTTAACTTGTACCGGGAGGGGCCCTCATGACTTCGCCTCCCTCCCGATCTGGAAGGCTCAGTTGAATATCCGCAAAGGCTTTCTCCAAATCCTCTAGGTCGTCGGGGACCCTCTGGAAGTTTGCGACTTCTTGCGGTGCTTCTTCTTGCTTCTCTTCTTCCCGGTGCCCCGGTTCCTCCTCTTCTTCGACCCTTTGCCTTGTTAATAGGTGCCTGAGTCCCTTCAGGAGTCTAGGGCTAGCCTGTAACATCGTCTGGAATGATACCGACACCATGGTCCCTAACAGTTTACTAAGGGTGTCATCGATTTCTGGCGTGGCGAGGGTGGGTATCTGGTACTGAAACTTCTTTTTTGCCGTCATTGCCTTATCGACGAGAGTCTCATCCCTAGGTTTCCCGTAGGCTCTGTCCTGGTCTGACTCTGTTACTTCTGGTGACATCCTTGGTCCTTCCTGCACATCCTCCATGATCGTATCCTGCACGACCTTTTTTGCGGCGGTCCGCTGCCTAGTGGTCATGTTAACCCTATCCCGTCCATCGCTTTCCATAATGAAATTTGCCCGAGGCCCTCGTCCCTGCGCCTGCCCCCAAGTGAGTTCCGCCACAGGCTCAGCTTCTACTACAGCGGCGTCTAGGTTGTTGAATGCGATCACGACCCGACACATTCCTCCTGGTGAATTCCAATTTATTCTCTCTCCCCATAGTCCTAAAATTTCTCCGCGCAGGGTCCTGGAGCATCGTTTAAGCATGATATTATGGTTGAGTCTCGGACACATCCGTACGAAGTGCCCGATCAACGTGCAATATTTGCACTGTTCGTTGGTCGGGTCCCTTCGATTGTTCTCACGGTTGGCTATACCTGCGGGGGCGATCACTTCCTGAGGCGAGAGAGGAGGCCGTAATGCCTCGTTCTGCGAAACCTGGGCCTGCATAACCAACAGGGCGTTCTCTACTCTCTCGATTTTCCCATCTACCCCATAAACACGCTTATGCAGGCTTTTGATTCCTCTCTTTACCTTATCACCTGTCTTGCCTGTTAGGTCTATGACCTCCCATTCTTTTAACAGGGCCAACGAGTCAGTTACGACCATTTTCTCGGCAATGTCGGTTATCGTGTTGAAGTCAACATCCCTGGTGTTCAGGAATTTTGGGGTTTGCAGGTAGGCTGACAGGATTTTATCCTAATCGAACTCTGTGAACTGTCTTAGGAAGTACTTGCTCATTATTCGATCGATAACCCCAGGGATGCGCAGCGCTACGAGAGTAAATTCTCTCAGGAAGTCATTGTACGTTGCAAAGTCCTTTCGTTGCACAACGGCCAGTTCCGCTTCCGTGGCCATCTTCTCGGCTGCCAGGTACTTTTTCATCATCACGTCCCGAGCCTCCTTCCATGACCCGCTCGTGGCGACAATCGCCATTATGTCTCTCCCTAGGTTCAACGACATGTGTTGCCCCAAGTGCTCCATCTTCTCTTCCTCGATCCACCTCAGGAGTGCTGCCAGGTTCTCGTAATCTATTAGGAACTTAGTGATATTTGCTCCGTCAAAGGTCAGTTTCTTCTTAGCGTTGGCCAAGTATCCTTGATTTTTGCTTAGCGCGCGGGTGAGGGATGACACGACTTTCCTAAGCCCCCCTTCGACCATTCTTGACCCTGCCGCCGATCTGGCCCCCAAATCTTCCTTGCTTGTGTTTGGTCTTCCTCTCGTCCTCGCAGTCCCCTCCGGATCAAACCACCCCAGCACCCTCTCCCTCAGACTCCAGAGCCCCACGCACCCCCTAGCGATTGCTGGAGACGTCGAAGGCCGGCTCGCTCCACTATCCAAGAGAGGCGGGTTGGTAGGTCTCTTTATGCCCCTTCCAGGAGAGTCCGCTTTTTCCTTCTCTTTCCTCGTTGGGGTCCCCCTGGGATCCTTGGGCCGGTCCTTCCTCTGTTATACGTCCGCGTCCTGGCCCCCTTTTCCTAGACTTGCCTCCTCTTCCTCTCGTATCCTTCCGTCCGCCCGAGTTCCTCTCGCTCTCGTTCATTATTTCTTCCAGTAATTTTGCCCTAAATTATGTCGTCCTCCTTTCCACTTCTGCCAGCCTCTTCCGTGCATCTGTCAGTCTTACCTTCTTATGTTTCGTGCCTTCCAAATGCTGGCGTGTTTGGCTGCCTTTGTCTCTAACCTCCTTGGTTTCCTGGGTTCCTCGCTTGCTTCCTTCGCCCTTCCCCGAGCTTCCACCGGGGATGATTTCCTTGCTCCCTTCTCTAGCCCCTGGCGACTTTGTTGACTCCCGGTCCCCTAAGGCATCCTCTTCTCGCTCTACATCTTCGTCTATACCCAGGTTCTCGTCGTCCTGTTGACTCCCAACACCCTCGCCCGTTGCCATTTTTTTCTTTCTCTAGCCCTGTATATGGAAAAAAAAATTTCGGCACGACAGTTCATGATTTCCTCATTTACTATGAAACCCCACTTATTCCTTCATACTGATTCTAATAGCCCTGGCTGGTGTTCTCGGTCTGCCTCTCCCCTGTTTCGAGGGCGGCGCCCTTAAGGTGGGTAGACTTTCCCACCCCTGTGGCCGATCTTCCTCCTTCTTTTGTTCACCCCCGACATTTTCTTCACCCTTTTGGTCGCCGCATCCATCCTCATCCTTCCTACCATCCCCTGGTCGAGAAAGGACTATGGCCGCTGCCTTTTTGCCGGCTCATTAGTCTTATCTTTGTCGTTCCTTTCCGAAAGACCTTATCCCTGCGGCCTTCCTCGACGTTTTGCACACATCGGCTCCTCAGGCCCGTTTCCTTCGTCAGGCTCTTCGAACATCCTTGCTACTCCCGCAAGGTAGTTCTCCCCCATCTCAATTTCCCTAATGATTATTGGCTCAAATTCCTCGAAGGATAGGTGGGGCGTCCCAAATATTAAAATCTCAATGAGCTCAAGCAGTTCACGCGCCCGGTTTCCCCNTATTGGCTCAAATTCCTCGAAGGATAGGTGGGGCGTCCCAAATATTAAAATCTCAATGAGCTCAAGCAGTTCACGCGCCCGGTTTCCCCAAAACGACCCATACCTTACTGCCACATCATAAAACATCCCGGTCGTTTGCGGTTTGAAGTGGTGGTTCTGGACTATGGTCGAGCTCACCAATTCCCTTGCCCGAGAGAGGCTTCCGAGTATCAGGTCTATCATGAACCGGCGCACCCGGCAGCACAGGCCGGATGTCGGAGCCCTGAATTCTCGCCATCCCCCTACTTCTACCCGCGTCCTTAAGCGCACGTTCCTTCTCCCCCTCACTTCGTGTCATATCTGGTTTAGTGACCTGGCCGCTCTCCGAAAAACTGGTAGCAGCCCATGCCCCAGGGCCAATTCCGTTCCCAACATCTACCACCCGGTCTCGGGGAAGTACAGAGTCCCGGTCACCCTGAGGTCGGTATACAGGTCGTCCCCTGAGCCCCTATTAAATCTCATCCCACTTCATAGGCACTCCACCATCATGAAGGCCTGGTTTCGCCCCAAGATCACCGCTCGCCATTCCACAACTATTCCCCGGACCTCGTAGCTCGCCGGGAGTGACACTTCCCATCCGTTGTCGATTTCCAAGGACGGCCGCAAGAGCGGGGGTCGCTGCGCCGTACGGACGCGTCTCCTTGCCATGACCCTGCAAGTTTCCCACACAGAAAAATAAGAAAAAAATTCCCTTTTTGTTCCTTTCCATATCCCCCCCCCCCGTTATCACAGCCATGTTCTAGCTTCCTACCAATCTCCCCCTATCTTCCCTACCTCCTTCCCTGTGCTCCTATTCGTCCACCGCCTCGAATAGTCTGTGGACATCGTCCACATAGGTCAAGCCGCAACCTATCTCGCGCCCGACCACCCCCCACAGAACTTCCTCGGCTATCGTGGGCACTCCTGGTCTGGTTGTTATGACAGCATGCAGAATTTTCAACACCTCGTATTCCTGGTCTCCTTCAAAAGGGCCCAATTCGAGGAAGGCTCGGTAATATTCTTGGCACACCGTCATGTCGCTAAAACTTAGCCTACCCAAAGCTGCCACCGCCTGCTCCACACGCTCCGCTCCCCCCAAGCGGCCGAGTAGGAAGGGCGGCAAGCTCATGCGTATGCTTTCGTGGGGCAAGATGCAGGCCCCCACTTCGAGCACCCGAACGGTTGCCGCCACATCGTGTCGTTCCTGATCTGCGAACGCGAATCCTTCCCTCCAGGTTACTTGCCACGCCCCGTCAAACATCCACACGGGGTCGCCGCCGGCGGCCAAGGCCACCCCGAAGGTCCGCCACCCCTCTTCGGATAGGTACAGGGACCCCGTGGCGTGCACACGCCTTGGCAGATCCGGGCTCACTCCCCCGAATTCCCCCTTCGCGTGCCATTATAGTTCCACCACTAGGTACACCGTATCCTCTACTAGCTCTACCCCCACCCAATCCATCACCAGGTTGTGCACCCCACCCCAGGTTCGCATGGTAACTTCCAACCTTCCTTCCAAGACCCGAGGCGGCTGAATCCCGCGGGGCCGATCTCCCCAGAGCGTCCTTCGCCTGGCCATGTCGCGTCGCTTCCAGCTCCTAGTCCCTGACTGCTGCATCCAACACGATTTCACGTTTCCCCTTTTAGTCCTAGAATCCCCTCCCGCGCCCCTTAGTTGTGTCTGCGTCATCCTTCCTTCCTATGCGTGCGAGTCTAGGTTTATTCTTACATCCAGGCCCGTTCAAATAGCAGGAACACATCCCTTACATACGAGGGGGTCACGGTTACCTCTCGGCGGAGTATCGCCTCCTCGACCCCGTCCTCCATCGTAAGTCGGTCATTCTTAAGGGCCTCTGGGATCTCAACCACTTCCTTGGCACGATCCCCGTGGAAGGGCCCTAGTCGCAACGAGGTCCTATAGTAAGCATTTGCTAGCCAGGTGAACCCCAGTTCCACCTCACTTAACGAATCCGCGACCGTCCGGACGTGCTCGTATCTTCCGAACCAATTCGCCACGAAGTGCGGGACACAAGTCTGAACCAGCTGATACGGTAACCTAAGCTCCTCCCATCCTCCCAACACGACCCTGCTCCTTACTTCATCCCATCCTTTGTTCGCAAATTCGCGGCCCATTTCCCAGGTCAGTCGCTCGGCCTCTCCTAGGATCCATGTCGGGTCCCACCCGACGGCTAGGCAAACACAAAACAAGTGTCACCCCTCCCTCAACAGGTACACGGTCTCGAGTGACTCCACATGCCCCTCAGCTATCTCATCCCACGGCTCACTTTCCATGACCGGGTTCCATACCCTTTCTACCCATAGAAAGGACATAGCGGTTACGACTTCTACCCCTACCCAGTCACAGGCCGTCCCTCTCCGTTCGTTCCTCGTCGGTAGGACCATCTCCACCCCCCCCCCCCGAACCGCCTAGGTGTCCATCCTCTAAACATCCGGTCCATCATGCTTTGTTCCCTTGCCATCCTTGATCCCCTGCACAGTCCCAATCCACCCACGCCACACAGTCCCAAGCCCCTTTCTTTTAGAAATCTCAATCCTCAATCTCTATCCCTTCCTCCTCATCCAAGTCGTCTTCGTTTTCCTCATACCACAGGTCCTGTACCCCTTCCAGAAACGTCTCCCCTATCGCGACATTCCTATATACTATCTTCCAATTCACGTTACTCGGGACAAACAGGCCGTCCGTGCTAAGATGGTTCAGTATCGTGGCCAGCTCCCTTGCCCAGTTCCCTTCAAACGGCCCCCTTTCGACTGACAGGCGAAAAAAGTCCTGACGGGCCCCTTGGTATTGTCCTAGGTTGGCCATGGATCTGCATATCCGCACCAGCCTGCTTCGGGTCCCGAAGACGGCGTCTACCATGAAGGGCGGCACGACACACCTCAGGGTTCTAAAGGGCTTCCGTACACTCCCTCTATCCCCAAGTTCCACCCGCACGTCAATCTCTTCCATCACCATTTCCACCCGTTGGCACGCAGCCCACAGCACTTCCCGCTCGACCTCCTTGAACAACTTGTATGGGAGTACTCCTAAGGCAAGCTCTATAATCATGGCATTTTTCCTTTCCTTAGACAAGTAGACCCATCCCCGAGCCTCCACGGTTCCCCCAAACTCTAAGTCCAGCAGGCTTGGCGCTAACCTTGTCAAACTAACCTTGGTCCACATGGTTTCGATCCATAAGAAGGCATCACTTTCAACCAGCATCCCAGTTTGGTATGCCGGCTCCAGGTCCGTCCAAGTTCCTTCTTTCGGCATTACAATCGACACCCCACCCTTTTCACCGGCATCTCTGGTCCGCCGGAGTAGGCTGGCGAGAACAACCACTGTGCCATCTTGTCCCTCCCTAGTTGTCGAATGCTGCTTTTTCAAAGAGAGCACCAATCGGCCCTCGGTTAGGTCAGTCGCAGTCCTAAATGAGAATTATTTTAGACCCCCCATTAAGGTCTCCCTAAATTCTCCCTTTGCCCTTTTCCCAAGTACCGTCACCCTATCGCATCCAAAGTCGGTTGCCCTCCACCAGCATCCCTTCTCTCGGTTCCTTTTCCTTCCGACTCCTATCCTTGTTCCTTCCCATCTTCTCTCACTCGTGCGGACTTAGATAGGGGGCGAGAATAGGCTTACAAGGCTCGGCCCCTTTCCAACAATCTCAAGCAACTTTTCAGACGAAGGCACAAAAGAAAAAAAATTCAAGCAATCTTCGCACACAGGCCGGTCATCTCCTCACCGGCCTTCTCCCGAAAGTGGTCTCTCCACTGTTACTATCGGCAGAGTTTTATCCCGTACCTCAAACACAGCTCAACCGTCGCGAGCGTGGTACCCAGACTCCAGTGGGGGGTCGCCCTCACCTTCTTGCCCAGAATACCCCATCCCGTTTTGCCGCTCTTGTACACCCCCATTGACACCGGATATCACCCCGCGTACTCGGTGGGGACAAAAATCAGCCATCCGGGCATTCACATCCATCGGTCCGATAAGAATCAGCCTTTACCATACCGTATCGTGAGAGGCTACTAATCGCCTCCGGAGCTCGCTCCGGGCCCCACGTGCGATGGTCCTTCCCCGCCCGTCAACAAGTCAGGCCCCACCTGAGGAGACGTTTCGCACCCCATCCGGGCAAGGCGCCGAGCCAAGCTCGGACCTACCCGGGTGGGAATGCTACTAATCAACCGGCGTGCCAACACCCGTCCAACGGCTCGGTGACGTGACCTTGCACATGAAAACCCGGCGGCCTACCCGAAGAGAACGACGTTTCGCAACCCGCACCAGCCGGCGCAGACCCATCCTTTCCTTCTGAAATGGAAGGACGCTCAATTCCCCTTCATGCAATCACAAGTTCCAAGTGGGTCACATATAATACAGGTGCCTTTCCCATGGTGCTTACAACGCTTCATACCCATGCCTCACGGTTTTCTCTAGGGACCGTGTGTGCCACTCACCCCTAGTTTCCATACATAGTGCCCGATTCCTTTTCGTGAGCATCTTCAAAGGTGAGCTAGTTTTCTTGGAGTCTAGCAAATCCCTTCATTCCCCTCATCTTCATTTGTGTGTCCGTTCATAGGGCGGGATTGTTCCTTCTTGACTACCATTCTGTTCACATGGGGTTCCTTCAAGCATTTCAAGTGAAAGAGCAGGGAGCCCGCTGGGCTCCGAAGAAGAGAGAAGAAGGCACCCATGTCGGTCGGATCACTCCGCCGCGGGATTTTCATTGGTACCCAGGCTAGGCCGAGCACCAACCGCCTGCCAGGTAACCGGAGCCCTTCTTTCACATGAAGTGGAAGGATCCGACCTGCGGCTTGCCCAAGGCTTCCCCGGACTGCCGAACACCAGCCCGAAAGAAGGAGGACTGGAGTCACCTCCCAAGGAGGTGGCTAACCAGGTGTGCAACACGCATGTTATCCCTCCAGGCCTGGCCTTGCCATGCGCCCAACCGCCCTCAAATCTGGTTCTCTCAAGGGAATAGAGCATACTCAAATCCTTGTTCCTTATCTTAAGTTATGTTCGCGTACGTGCGTCGGGCGCCCCCCTCGAGATCGTATGGGTCAGTTTAAACCAGTGCCCGTCACCTCCACCATTTTTGACGGGCCGAACCCCGGTAGACTTTCGAGCCTTATGTCGACCCCACTGCGGGTCCCACTTGGCTCGACCCGCCCACGCTCAAGCTCTGGGCGCGGGTCATTCGTCCCAGGGCCACCCCCACCTAGTGCTTTGGTATGGATGGGGATGGGCCAATAAGGCGAGAGAGCTTAACATTGGGGATGTAGCTCAGCCCTCGCATTGGGTGGTAGCCTCGCTGGTCAAGTGTCGCAAGCGTAGGTTCTCTCGATTCCCTGTTGTGTTCGCAGGCAATTGCTCCTTCCAATACTCAAGCAGTCCAGGGGGTTTATTGGGAGTTCCTCTTCTTTTTGTGCGTGGGGCTAAGCGTCATCCTTAGACCACGCACCATTTCCCTAACCTCTTGACAGATTTCCGGCCTCATCGGGGCGCAGCCATGCCATCCTTCCCCTAGCCACTACCACCTCCCCTGTCTAGCTTACGTATCCCATCCATGACACCATTGCGAGCCCTTAGTCTTTTCGGGCATCCACTCTGCATGCAACAAACCAAGGCACACCCATGTCATACAAGACTTACCCCCTTTTCCAGCCTTCTCCCGTCCCATGCTCCCGCCCCAACCAATCGCTCAAGCCATCCCAAGCTACTCACCTGCGTCATTCCCACACAAGCAAGAAATAAACATCCGTCCCTCATTGGGGTCAACACATCGCCCTTTCCGCAGGCCTAAGTTCCCTTTCCTTTCCATGGCTCTTCCGTCGTTTTTCTTCTCTTCCACATCCAAACCATGCTCACTTCCTTAGTCATGCATTCGGGGAAGATGGTTGAGTCAACTGACCTTGCCCAAGCTCGCACTTGTCTTCACTTTTCTTTTCAATGATTCCGCTTTTTCCAAGTTCACAAGTCTTTCACTTTGCTCCTTCTTGGTGGCGCAAGGGACCGGCTGCCCTCCCCTTGCCCTCTTTCTCCACCAAGTGAGGCTGCCTCTTTTCTCCGTTCGTCCCCTGGCAATGTAACAAGTGAGGGTAGGTTAGTCATATGTCAAGAGGAGAAGGCGGAGAGGGAAAGGGTGACGTTACTTGGGGTGCGCGGGAAGGGGGACGCCGGTGGAAGGAGAAGCGGCGGACGATGAGAAGGTACAAGGGACGAAAGAGAAAGGGGGAGAGAAAGAGAGAGAGAGAGATTGAGAGAGAAAGAGAGAGAAAGAGAGGGAGAGAGGGAGGAGAGAAAGAGACCCCTAGGCCTAATCAAACTTACTTCTTAATCGCCCACCTACCCTACACAAGACGCCCCATGCCCCATAGTCGCCCTACTTGAGCATGGTACACGGGTGCCGGAAGGAGATGGGGAGGAAGAAGGTACAAGGTGCCTGGCTATGGTGGATGGGTGAAGGGGATGGCGGAGGAAGGAGGTTGGAGGTGCTTGGCTATGGCGGATGGGTGAAGGAGATGAAGGGGCGTGGGTGATGGAGGAGGAAGAAGGTGAGGGGTGCCCGACTATGGTGAATGGGTGAAGGAGATGGAGGAGGAAGAAGGTCAAGGTGCACGGCTATGGTGGGCGGGTGTAGGAGGTGGAGGAGGAAGAAGGTCCAAGGTGCACGGCTATGGTGGACGGGTGTAGGAGGTGGAGGAGGAAGGAAGGTGGAGGGTGTTGGGCTATGATGGGTGGGCGGGGGACGAAGGAGGATGAAGGTGGAGGGGGCTTGGCTATGGTGGATGGGTGTGGGGAGTGAAGGAGGATGGAGGTGGAAGGTACTTTGCTATGGTGGATGAGTATGGGAGATGGAGGAGGAAGGAGATGGGAGGTACTTGGCTATGGTGGATGAGTATGGGAGATGGAGGAGGAAGAAGGTGGGAGGTACTTGGCTATGGTGGACGGGTGCGGAGGACGGAGGAGGGAGAAAGTTGGCTATGGCGGCTGGGTGTGTCAGATGAAGGAGGACGGAGGTGGAAGGTGCTTGGCTATGGCGGACGGGTGTGGAGATGAAGGAGGATGGAGGTGGGAGGTGCTTTGGGTTGTCCTTTGGACATCTGGGCAAGGTGGATGGGTGTGGAAGATGATGGTGGAAGAGGATGTGAGGCGGCCGACTATGGTGGATGGGTGTGGAAGATGAAGGTGGGAGAAGATGCGAAGTGTGGTGTCGTTCTAGTTGCCCATACGTCCGAGAGTTTCCGCCTATTTGCAGCCTACTTCCCCAGCACTATCCCTTCCGTAGACACACCGATGTCACTAACCCATACCCCGTAGGGAATCACCGAGGTCGCAAATACCCCATCTTGCAGCAAACACAGATCTTTGCAGGAAATTTAAAAATTGCAGGAAAATACAGAATTTGCAGCAAGTACCGTTTTTTCGGAGAATTGCAGACTTTTAAAGAATCGGAGCACTATTACCTACCATGCAGATGATCAGCACCAGCGTGGGCAACCAAGATCAGAGGGGGAACAACATCACATCATTCAAAGAAGGATCGGAGCACAACTACCTAGTACATGAGTGAAAGGCATGAGTGTGGACAATCACAAGTGAACAGCATCACAAACTCATAGATGTATCGGAACACAACTGCCCAGTACATGACTGAAAAGCATGAGTGTGGACAGCACAAATCACAAGTGAACAGTATTACAACATTCAAAGGTGAATCGGCACACAACTACCTAGTACATGAGTGAAAAGCCTGAGTGTGGACACCACAAACCACAAGTGAACAGCAGCGGATCATCAAGGCAAGTGTCGGGATACTACCGCCTACAAATCAAGCACAAAGGACAAGTTCTATCAAGTCTACAACCAATGTATGAGCAGCGGAACATCAAGGTAAGTATCGGGATATCACAGCCTACCAATCAAGCACAAAGGACAAGTTTTATCAAGTCTACAACCAATGTATGAGTCGCGGAACATCAAGTATGAGTCGCGGAACATCAAGGTAAGTATCGGGATGCCACCGCCTACCTACCTAGTGCAAAACACAAGATTGAACAGTCCTACAACCAAGATTTGAACAGCGGATCATCAATGTAAGTATCGGGATATCACCGCCTACCTACCTAGTGCAAAACACAAGATTGAACAGTCCTACAACCAAGATTTGAACAGCGGA